TTTTTTTTTTTTTTGTACCAGGGATCAAACTTGGGACCTTGCGCTTGCGAGGCAGGCGCCGGAACCACTGAGCTAAATCCCCGGGCCAAGACCTTTTATTTCTAATATTAACCCCAGGTAAGAAAAACGAAAACAGGAATTTGATAATGATTTTTTTTTTCTCAATGGTTAAAAAATTATTTCCCTCTTTAGGCACTAAATATCCATAATCTCCAATCAAACACAAAATTAATTATGTAGACCAAGCTGACCTTTGTTAATTCTGGGATTTTTTTCTATGTATGGAGAATATGTCCTAATAAATATTAAATTTTGTACATCACATAGGCCAAGTCTATTATTTTACAATCAAAATATTAAATCACAAAATTTCATTTTTATACTTCTGTACTAATGTGTGGTTACTTCTGTAATCAAATGATAAATACACTTTATGTATAAATAGCTTCCAAATTCAGACCATAAAGAGGGAGCTCTGATTATTGGTTCTGATTAATAGTAGAGCATTTAAACAATGTGAAACCTGTTGAACTAGATGCTTGAATGTCAATTTCTCTTAAATATTACCAGGCTTTATGCTATTAGAAAGAGTTTTAGCCAAACAGGTGAAGGATAATTTGGAAAGGCTGGCAATTTTGTGTATATGTCCATGTGGTTGTCATTCAAAGGGTAAATTGATTTATGGTATCTTCCATCACTTTACTTGGAAGAGAAAATTAAAAACACAATAATTTTCAAATCCAACGTGATAATCATATTACCTTAACAAGCACTTCATAGATAGTAGAGCTGGCAGTGAGAGGAAAACAATTACCATACTTTTTCAACTCAAAATCTAATAAATATATTGAGAAAGATAGAGAATACCAAATGTAGGACTGAATGTGTTCAGGACTCAATAGTTATTGATAGCAATGAAAACTAGATAAATCAATCATTTTAGGAATGGTCATTTGTGTATTTTATAGAATCATGCTACAGCATATATTTCCTCGAAAATATATAAATCACTAGAGTATGTATCAGGTAACAAGGAATTGTGATTGTCTTAAATAGTGCTGTGTTCACAAACAATAATTGAGAATTGTATGAAGATATACCTAAGCTATCAAAACAGATTACATCATTACTAGCTTGAACTATTTTTATGGTTTATATCTAGTGTCTCCCCAAAGCCTCAGGCACTCATTGTTTGGGCATTTAGGAGATGATTGGATCATGGGAGCATGATACTCTCCAGTGGATAATTTCACTGATGAGTTTATAGCTAAATGTGATGTTGAGAAGTAAAGCCTGGTCAGAGGAAGTGGGTCACTGTGGGCATGGCCTGGAAAGGTATATCTTCCTCCTTCCTCCTTCCTCCTTCCTCCTTGATATCCCTCTCTCTCTCTCTGTCTCTCTCTCTCCCCCCCCATCCTCATTCTCTTTTTCCTGCTACCATGCCTTGAGCTGTTTGTTCCCTGCCATGCTGCCCTGCCTTGGAGACAACCAACTAGGAACTGATCCCTCTACGAACTGTAAGCCAATAAACCTTTCCTCTTTTAAATTGCAAGTGTAAGGTATTGTGTCTCAACAATGAGAAAGTAACAAAGACAACCACATTCATGGGCCTGGAAGAAAAGTTGTGAAATGCTACTGAAGCTGATCGACAAACATAATTCCAGCAAATGAAAGCAAATGTTACGTGATTCTGATTTGAAAACAAATGAAATAAATTGTGGGACAAAATAACATTAAAAGACATTTTATACACACATTACAGGCACAGTCATGCCTGTATACTCAGCATAAATGAACAAACACTCCCTGGCTCGCTGCTTCAAATCATCCCTCCTCGACATGAAGACTGAGAGCCAGAACAAAGAATGGAATCTCTGCTACATCCGAAGTTTCCAAGGACCACATTAGAGAAGAGAGCTGTATTTGAAGGTCAGTAATAAGAAGAGACACCCACCGTTGGTTTTTCTCAGCTCCTCCACAAGGTAGCGGGCTTCCTCCTGAACACAATCCTCAATGCTCCTCCTCCCCATCCCCAAATTCCTCAGGATCATGAGAGAGAACGGCCGGATCTCTTTCCACATCTTTCCATTACTAAAAGTAATTCCTAAATGAAGGGAAGAAGAAAGCAGGTAAAATATCCCAGGAAAGGAAAAGAGAGCTAAGATATGGCAGCAAGACAATGCCAAGCTCTACCTGAGGAGCTCTTCCAGTGTCTGTTTCAGTCTTCTGTATCACCATGACCACTGAGCAATACAAGCACAAGCCCACGTACCAAGACCTTTTCCAGTTTTTTCAAAAACTGGAAGACTACCCCTTCCAGAAAATTTATCCCCAAGATCAACCAGGGCTTCCTTCACAGCTTCATATCCATGCAGCACCACAGTGGGCTTCATGCCCAAATACACAGTGTACACAGGGCCATAGACTTTTGAGAACTGGAAAATGGAAATGAGATGCATATAATAAAAAAAACTGTCAGTATTTCCTCTATATACTGTGCCTGATTCCAAATGATATTATTGCTATGTTTTAAATGGTTTTTGCTACCATGCACAGCTTTAAATGTTTCCAAATTTTATATATTATTATGATGGCGATTGTCATAGCTGCCAATTATATATGGTCTATGATTTGCCATGTAATGGCCCATTCAGTTGGTAACACAAGTAACACTTCTCCCATCAACACATCAAGCAGTTTTATTTGACTTGTTTTACAAGGAAAGAAACAGAGTTCAGAGAATTCCAAATTACTTTCCAGTATTCCACAGCTAAAATATAGAAGACACGAAATCTGCAGAAAACTTCAAATTTTATGGAAATTCTGGATAAAACATAGAGCTAGTATGGTATATGATTTATATAATAAAATCTCTAATCGCAAACACATCCCTTATGATTGACTTTCAGCCAAAAATAATAACAAATAGTTATAAAACAAAGAAAGAAGTACTCACAACTTTTGCCACTGTGTAATTTTGATTCCACCCTATAAGGATCTAAATGTTTATCTCTACACAATCTGTCACTTCATTCCCCTATTTCTGACAATGACAAATTGAAAAAGGCAACAGGTATATCAAAGTTTACAAAGAGTGGTTTGTTTTACAATCATTTATTATAATAGTGTGTGCCTTTAGAAATATATTTTTCTTTAAAAACACATCCATTTACTTTTCTTGTAAGCAACTATAAGAAAATAAAGTATACTTACATGGGTTAAAGATTTGTTAATGTTCTTAGCATCTATTTGCAAGATATTTGCAATAATTGAAAGAGGAGTGGGGCCAGGTGGAAGCTTCCCTCTCCCAGAGCTGTGTCTCCAGAATGAAAGGAGATACAGACAGGAGAGACAGAGAACCAGGACCATGACTGCATCCACTGAAGCCTCTCTTCTTATTGAGACAAGAGTGAGCGTGCAATGGAATGATTTATAACATTCCTTCCTAATTCAATATGCACTTTTTTGACACATGACCAAACAGCGAGGTGCACTTTAATCTCTTCCCTGAGTACTTTGTCCCAATGATAGCCATTTAATTAAAATGTTCTTTACCCATGTTCTCTGTTTCCCAGTTCCCTTCCAAGAGATTGTTTATATGTTGATGACAATGTATTGATGATTTGAAATAATCCATAATGCTTCCAATGTGCAGATATGATTGTGTAATGTTCTGATGATGCAAGAAAATTACTCAAAATTCTGCATTCTTATAATAATGGCCAGTTGGTAATTTATGCCTTTGAAGAATAGTTTAGGATATTCTATGACATGCATGTTTAAAAACATCATATTGTTATATCAAACACTAGGAAACTTTGTTCTTGGCAATTTAAGCCTTTCAACTGCTTAATATATATACTGTACTAACATTATCTATCCCTAAACACAAAATACCTGACATGTCTCGTATATCTTCGATGATATAACCTATATTAAGTTTTTAGCTAAATAAAGTTGCATGTCCTTCAAATTAAATACTAAAAAATAGAACACAGAAATTTGTTTTCTAAAATTTTATATACCGAACGGGAGACTAGGAAAATAGGAGAGCTGTCAGCATTATACAGCTCATAGGTGAAAGAACTGGGGTTTCAATGACACTTTCATATGTTTATTGTGCCTCCCCACATCTTCCTGAACATTTTTGGGACAACAAAACAAACTTCATACATTAGCTACTCTGAATTTAAACTGTACTGACTCTTTGAAGGCCACAGGCTCCCCATTAAATACAAGCTACTAACTTGATTCCAAAGACAACATGACAACAAGTATTTAAGAAGAGCTGAAACTTGACCAGCAGAAATGTGAGAAGACCAAGTCTCAGAGAATTAAGTGCAGATGACTCAATGATCTATGGTTTCCCCCATCTTTCAGCCAGAAAAACTGATTCTGTTGACTTTTATCTGTCATGGTCATAGGTGAAAAATGAAATGATGAATAGCAAGGAAGGAAAAGCATAGATACAGCTACAGTTGTGAGTGCAGTAAAGGTTAGAAGGAAGGGAAATCATTACAACAAAAGTACAGCAAAACAACAATATGCACTTCTGAATGAGAGCAAACATTTAGTTATGAGGATTCAATCATTAATAAAATGATATATATTACTATATCACTAATGACATTGCTTAACCAAAGACATATTTTTCCTTAAATTCTTTTATTGGTACATTTTAGGTATACAATACATTTACATTTATCATTGGGTACATGATGTATCTTGGTTCTTATTTTTTCCCCATTACCTGTCCTCCCTTCACCCACTCCACCCTTCCTTATTTGCAAAGACTTTGTTTCCATTTTTTCCTTTTCTCATAATTTTTCCTTTCCCTTCTTTACTTTCCCCTTCCCCTCCCTCTTCTGCTACCCCTTTGGACCTTTTCTTCCTATTTCAAATTATCAATTATTCATTTTAATCATTTTAATCCAATTTACACTTTCAGTTTCTCACACCAGAGAAACTATTCAGTATTTATTTACACATGTGTGTTCTATTTATTTCACTTGAGTATGACCTCAATATGCACCTATTTAGATATAAATGTCTCTAGTTTGTCATTCTTTATGGCTGAGTAGTACTCCATTTTATTAAAAAACCACATTTTTTTTATCCAGTCTCCAGTTGATGGGCAATTGGGCTGCTTCCAAGCTTCAGCTATTATGAACTATGCCACTATAAACATGGGTGCACATATATCGGTGTGGTATGATTCTTTTAATTCTTTTGGGAAGATACCCATCAGGGGAATAGCTGGGTCAAATGGGACCTCTAGTCCTAGTTCTTTGCGGTATCTCCATACTGATTTCCACAGTGGTTGCACCAGTCTACACTCCGAACATAAACGGAGAAGGGTTCCTTTCTCTGTGCTACCCCACCAATATTTGTTATTGGTTGATTTCTTGATAGCAGCCATTCTTTCTGAGGTGAGGTGGAATCTCAGCATTGTTTTCATCTGCATCTCTCGAATGACCAGTGATATTGAACATTTTTTCCTATGTTTATTTGCTGCTTTTACTTCTTTGTCTGAGAAATGTCTGTTCATTTCAGATACCCCCTTTTTAATTGGGTCTTTAAATCTGGGGGGGTCTGATTTTTTTAAGTTCTTTATATATTCTCAATAGTAGACCTTTGTCTGAGGTACAGCTGCTTAAAAACTTTTCCCACATTGTAGGTTGTCTGTAGGTTGTCTGTTTCCCACATTGTAGGTTAGCTCTGTTGGTGGTTTCTCTTGCAGCTTTTTAATAAGATGAGACTCCAGTTGTTGATTCTTTTTGCTAGTTCCTGTGCTACTGAGATTTTGTTCATAAAGTCCCAAAGACATATTTTGTAAAGATAACGCCATTTCCCTTCTAAATTGACTAATAAAGTTATTTCTAATATATTTTAGTAAGAAAAACTCTCATAAATACTTTGTTAAATAATTATTATTAATCGTTTTTATAGGGAAACAAAATTTGCAAAGAATTTTCACACTAATAATATTCTTTTAGCTAAAATAACATTATTCCTATAGTAAGGCTAGGAAACTGGGCCTTGGAGATTCAGTCCCTTGGCTAAGAACACACAGACTATACTTGAGAAAGCTGATATTGACACTGACATACTCTGAATCTTGGACCCTTCCCTCCAAGCAGAATTTTCACATCTTATACATTGTTGACACAAATGTAAATTAGTATAGCCATTATGGAGAGCAGTATAAAAGTTTCTCACAAAGCAAAAAATACATCTACTATATAAATCAGCAATCCTACTTCTGGGTATATATATAACAATGAAATTAGCATACCATGGTGATATGTTTATTTCATGACCACATTTATTGTGGCTCTGTATCCATTTGCTAAGATATGGAATTTTCCTAAAAGCCCATCAACAGATGAACGGACAAAGAAAATGTGGAATATATAAAGAGTAGAATACTATTCAGATCTAAAGAAGGATTAAATTCTATCATTTGCAACAAAATGGATGAAACTGGAGGACATTAGGGTAAGTGAAATAAGCCAGACCCAGAAAAATAAGGATTACATGTTCCATCAAAAGTGGAAGCTAAATGAAGTCAACCTGAATGTGGAACAGTAATTAATACAAGTTGGGAAAGTGTAGGTTGGGGTAGACAAGGAGAGGTGATTTTAACCAATACATGTATAGACATATCACACAGAAGCCAATTGATACATTACCAAAAAAAACCCAGAAGACTAAAAAAAATTACTTCTACTAAGATTACCAAGAGTTTCTGATTATGGGGCTGGGGATTTAGCTCACCTGTCTTACAAGCACCACATCCCACGCTTGATCCCTGGTACAAAAAAAGAAAAAACGAGTTCCTGATTGTGTACTCTGGCTCCATATTTTGCAATTTGCCTAATCAGTGACTTTCAAAATAAACATGACTTTTATTAACTATTATAAAAACTATTGATTAAAATAGAGGTCAGTAAAACTTGGTTTTGTAGCCTGCAGACTGTGAGTGACCCAAGTACTGGTGAGGCCTTTATCCAGGACAAAATGACAATGATAAGATTATTAATTTGCAGGACTTGCAACTCTAAAAGAATCATAATCAACTAATCATAATCATATAAAATAATCATATCAACTTACTTGAAGTAAAATGATCTCAGGTGCTCCCTCTAGAACAATCACTTTATCCCTTAAAAGATATTCATTCTTTGACCCATTTTGCCAAGCTGAGGCTCCAACATGGACCATTCCCTTAACAGAGTGAAAAATAATCATACATAAGATAGAAGAAATCTCTGAGATCAACTCACCTAAACTTTGATTTGTTTGGGGTTTTTTTTATGTTTTGTTTTGTTTTGTTTTGTTTTGGTACTGGGGATTGAACTCAGGACCTCACACTTGCCGGGCAGGTGCTGTAACCACTGAGCTACATCCCCAGCCCCAACTTTGCTTTGTTTTTAAGGAATGTGAAATTGATGACTTAGTAATGCCACTAGTAGTATCACTAATGTACAGTACAAGATCTTGCCTCAATATCCTACTTCCCTAATATGTATTTTAATGATTTCTCACTTCCCTTTCCACAGGATGTTCACCCAATTCAAGTATTCTGCATTAAGCCTTAGAGTCACCAAATAATGCAAACCTCATCTTGGCTAGAGTTGTGGATTAGAGGTTTTTTAAATTTGAAAAATAATTATATTTAGAGTAGTTTTAAGTTTGTAACCAAACTAAATATAAAGTACACAGTTCCTATATGCACCCTGCTGATATCCACATACAACCTCTCCCATATTTAACAGACATCACATATGTAGTCCATTAGATTCAGTCAAACCAACATTACCACATCATTATTCAAAGTCCATAGATTATATAATGTTCATTCAGTGAAGCTCAGCTGGTCCCAGCACCCAGAAGGAAGCTGCCTGCCTCCAACCCAGGCTCCTAGGGCAGGGAAGCTCAGCCGGTCCCAGCACCCGGAAGGAAGCTCCCCCGCTGACATCCCAGGCTCCTAGGGCCAAGAAGGTGAGCTGGTCCCAGCACCCGGAAGGAAGCTCCCCTGCTGGCATCCCAAGCTCCTAGGGCACAAAAGGTGAGCCACGTGGGCGCCAGAAGCACCCACACACACACCGGAAATGAGAAGACAGATAAAAAAGCCTCAAAAACAGACTTCCAGATCACCTACAGCAACCCCAAAGGGACACGAGATGGGACACTCTGATACTCAACCACCTGGACTCTCTGAACTGGCAACAAAAGAGGATCTGGGAAAAATGAAATCAGAAATAATTACTCAG